CAATCTTCATTTCCGGTACGGTGGAATGGTGCAAATCCACGTTGCTGGGCCACAAAAATGTCATCGTAGCAAAGATAGTGGTGCATAAAGCCCTTCTCCAAGCGTCCCACCGGGTCACAAAAAACCAAAATCAGCTTGAAGCGCGATATGGCAGCCAGCTTCCTTTGTCTGTTACATACGCAAAGCCCAAGACAAGCAAAGTCAAGAACATACAAAACCGTTCAAGCATTGCTAAGCATCCAAGTCTCTGCCTGGCAAGTCCAAAGGAAAAAAACATCGGTATGCAAATCCCAACAATGTGGGGCTCAACACCCGTGCGCTTGCGCTTCTCTTCTTTTGCAAACTGCACTCGAGCATTGTACTTTTCAACCTGTGTTCTTAAGGGCAACAGGCGGTCTGCAAGAGCATTTGTAAAGTAGTAGTCTGCATCCGACGTAGAGGCGAACGACAGCTCTGGATGCTGGTCCAAATTCAAATGCAAAGAGGCTGTGCCACAGCTGTCTATTCCACCAATGGCAAAATCGACATCAAACGATTCCCAGGGAAGAAGCTCCTCTATTTCAATAATATCTTCAAAACTCACATTGCCGAGCATCTGCGTCGGCCTTTGCCCCATAAACTCTGTTGCAAAAGCATAGGGAAATATGGTATTGGCTACTGACCTTCGGTCACAAATGGCCGGAGCACAAACGCTCTGACGTAAAGTATGCGGCAATTGGTCGGGCGTGTAAGTCTCATCAATGTTGAAGGCAGCTGCTGCACGCCGAAGGAACAATGATCTGGCACTGCGTATAAGCACGTCCTAATGTATCTAATGTGAAGAGCTGAAAACACAGGCTTCCAAGTGCAGATTTAAAAACCAGCGTGGGGCTGACCGCGATCTTTGATGGGTTGACTGCAGCGGTTGTACACCTTCTAGGCTTTGTGAGGGGCTTTGGTAAAATGGTTCGCATTTCATCTACCACTATGGGAAAAGACTTTCTATCCATATATTATATAACAAAAAAGGATGCAAACAATTGTCACGGAGACAAACACAGGGCTGAAGCTTTGCCTCCTTCGAAGTTGTATGGAGTTTTTTGGTGACACCTCTCAAGCCAAATGGAGTCACTGGATTAGTGACCCTCCGGGGGCTGAACAATTTGTGTTATAGTTTCTTACAGGTCACTCACAAAAGGATAACACCAAAATCCACTCCTACAAGATTGTCCTTCTAACATCGCGGCGCACCTTCTCTTAAATATGGTGACAGCCGAAGCTGGTAAACGGGGTGGTAACTTAAAACTTTGTGGGGGCAGACCCAACATACATGATGCCCCATTGGGCTCTAGGAAGGCCTGACCCCCGATCGCCCACGAGTGACACCCTCTCCCATGCACGGGGCGGGTTGGGTGGGACAAAACACCCACAGGTGTCACTGGAGTACCACAACTCCACCTAACAAACACGACCCAGGGGTCTTCACTCACTGGCAAAGTCAAAACAAAGCATCAAGGAGTGAACATGTTCGTGACCGTTCGCCACTCCCTATGCAAGAAACTATAATAAACTGCTATTGAGTTCCTCAACGGCTCCAGAACACACCAGAATAATCTGCAATTCTTGGCCCCAAATGAACACCTTACCATTGACAGGGCATGCACATTGTGGCACTTACATCATATTCGCCATCAAATATCAAAGTTGCCCAGAAGAGTCTAGCAAGTATTGATGAAGAAAATGGTGCGTATATAAACTAACGGGCGAAGTCACAAAATGTGTTGATTCCAGAAGAACCAAACATGCAAAAACACATACATATATATATATATATATACATATATGCTAGCCCCCCCAAAGCCCAACTGCGTATAATTTATCTTGAAGTTAGTTCTAATTTACTGCAGTTTTATCTTAAATTTAAATTTACAGTAGTTGTGTTTCCTATTTCAATTTGTTTGTAATTCTTTTTTTGGGGTTCCAACTAGTTTAAATCCTATACATTTCAATTTCAGTTGTTTTACAGTTCTAGCTTAATTCCATTTCTTTACCCATTTAAGTTTGATTAAGTATATTTTAATTGAATGCCAATTGAAATCCTAAATGGCCTAATTCTAATCCGTTTCTGATTGAATTCAGATTCAAATCTATTTACTTCTACTGTATTTCAATGTTAATTGTATTTCCACAATCATTCAACTTTAATGTTGAGTAACTTCCATATATAGTCTATTTAATTGCAACTCAATGCAAATTTATTTCTATTTAGTTCCTATTTCTTTTCAATTTAGTTTCTATGCAGTTTATGTTTAGATCTAATATATTTGCAGTATTTTTCTATATAATCTAATTTTGGCTTTTATGCAATTTTGATTTGCTTCTGGAGAGAACGCTTTGTATATAATTCATGTGCTGCTTTCTTTCACGTTCTTTTCTTAAAATCACACCCCCAGCAAAACCATCTCTCTAGAATAAATTCAAATTAAATCAGAATTCAGTTTGCATTGAACTAGAACTAAATTTGCATTGAACTAGAATTGAATTAAAATTAGATTGGAATTAGTCAACATTAAATTGGAAATCACCATAGAATTAAACTAGAACTGTAAACAACTGAAATTGAATTGTAAAAGGTTCAAACTAAAAATGAATACAAACAAGTTTTTAAAAAAGCTAAATTTGAATTAACATAAAACTAAATCAGAAGTAACTTCGAGATAAACTAAAAGCAAATTAGACTTAAACTAGATTTGAATTGGAATTACAGAATCAAAATGTAATTGTTTCAAATAGCATTGGGTTAGAATTAAAATAGAACTGAAATAGAATTGCTTAACCTGCAGCTCGATTAGAATTCACTTACTGTAATAATGAATTAGAATTCGACTTGCGTGAGAATTAAAAGTAAAATGACATGTACAATAAAACTAAATTAGACTTGAACTCAAATTCAAATAGAAGTGCATTCCAATCAAACTGGAGATTGAAACTAAACTTACATTAGACATCAATTAGATTCAAATTTGAGTTCAATCAGGTTCAAATTCAAATTTAAGATTCTAAATTTAGAATTAAGTTAGACTGAAATACCAATTGAATTAAAGTTCACTAAAATTGATCTATAATTATAAGGTTTCTTACATGAATTCACTTCAATGTTGGTTAAAAATATGTTACAAGTGTATAGAATTCAAAATAGAATTAAATGAACTTGAAGCCAATTGGAAATAAGTTAAGATCTATATATTTTTAAAAACATATTCAATGAAAATTTGATGTTATTTCAATTCAAATCGAAATCAACTTCCAATAAAATGATACAGTGTACAGGTTGTGCAACAGCCCAAAGGACCGAAACACAAACAAAACCCACCCCCAAAAAAACTTTGACGAGAATGCCTGGTTCAGCCTCAATAAATGCTTTTTGGTTTTCATTGTGTTATTTTTTGGCTTTGACATCAACAAACAAATTGAGTGTTTTTTGAAGGTTTGTTGTACTAGAGTACTGCCACAAACAACAAACACAATGTTTTGTATCTTTCAGTATTTGATGTTTGGTTGTACTCATAGCAAACCATCAAAAACCCAAAACACATTGCGTTTTTGTTTTTGATAGTCTTCTTCAACCATGAGCCTTCCAAAAAAACACACAAGGTTTTTTTGTTTTTTGGATTTCAAAGCGAAACAACACAAACACAATATACACAACAATCGTTTGAGGCTGAACCAAACATTCTCCTCAAAGTGTTGATTTCTTTGTCTTTAATCTGGGGATATGTATGTTTTTGTATTATTTCATTTGTTCTTGTTTTTTGAATTGTAAAGTGCATTGTTTTTTAGATTCTTTATACCCAACAATATGCATAACACATTGTGAATTCCAGTAAATTTGATGAATGGGTGGCTTTTTTGGGGGAGTACCATATCATATCCACTATATCCAATCTGCTACCGCATGTTGACATGTTCAACTCAAACAAGCGCGAGGTCAAAACACATCTGCAAATGCAGTGTCCGTGTTCTGCTCCCTGACGGGTGGCACATTTCCAACGCCTAGTGCTGGCAATCCTGCCAGAATCACCAGGAAGTGGCCGGGTGACACGAATCAATCCACTCTCGAAAGGCAAAACCCGCCTCCACAGCACTTTAGAACAAGCCTGTCTGGATGTGTGTGGTCAGGTAGAGCTTGCTCATCCCCCCCAAATTGCACTACTTTCTACCTAGAGTCGATGCAACTAGTCCATGACACTGTTGTTTACCAAAGACATTGATGAACTCTCGAAAGTGGATCTGACCTAGTCAAGCCCACCCAAAGCACGCGTCGCGCAAAAGCACGCAATATGCATCGTTTTTGATGCGCAAACCAGTGATGTTCGATTTGATTACTACAAATACTGTGTTGCTGTGCGGAGCTGTTACGAAGCTCTTGCTGCATGGTGTGGTGGGGCCGCAGTGATGCTCGGTGTGACATCAAGGGTCCTGTATGATTTGGGTCTTGAAGCTTTTAGCTCCTCTGTTCTTATTGGGGAACCTCCAGTCGAGGCCACACATGTTGATGCATGATGATGCTAAGAAGGTTACGAAAACAACACATGGTGTAGGAGTCACGCAACTGGTGCGATGACACAACAAAAAAAGACGCGGCGACAATTGGCAATGAAGATAATCATGTAATTGCCATAGCCATGTAACGGGTGATGATGAAGGGATTGCTGAAAACTGATACAATGATGCAGTGGTAATCATGGTGCAATGATAACACAGTCGCAGCAAGACGTGGATGGTAAGGCGCTGGTAGTGATGATGCTGCGGTGAACTAAAGCCTCAGATGTGGAGGTTGACAGTTGAGGTTTTGACATTTGTGGCTGTACGTTCCCTTATTGATTCCACGGCCCTGTCAGCAGTACGTGTATGTCTCACTATGTTGCCACTGAGAATCAAACTGCGTTCAGTCCTGCACCTTCACGTCATATACGTAGACCCCTGTAAAAGACTTCCATGTACCCCATTGCTGGTAGAACGGACTTATCACCCCCTAAGCCCATTTTAACACTTTATGGCTGTTCGACCATTCTGTGGGTATGAATGTTGTGAAATCGACCACCATATTGTGATACAAATGATAAGTGTGATACGCTGCCGATGTTGTGACAACGAAGCTGCGCCGTGGGTGAAATGATTTTAAAAGAAACGCCAAGCATAGTGGGGCTGCTAGTGGGTGTGAGCACAACCATGCATGGAGCCTTACGATCAGAACAAAGCCAATTCCTGCGCAAACAAACCCACAAAAGGCTCAAAAAATCCAAGAGGAAGACTCATAGAGTTTGCGAAGATCCAGGACCACTTCCCAATAGCGGCCGCCATGGACTGAGCAGCCAGTAATTTCGTTTTGCGCTTGACCAAAGAGCATCCCGAGCCAAGCATCTTCCTGGTGGCTCAAGTGATCTAAGTCCAACTGACCTCATATTCCCCGTTGGAAGATTGAAATAATTATATATATATATATATGGTCCTTCTATGACCTCTTTCCTTGGCTTGAAAATCCGCCGACCCCGGCCGACGCAAGGGGGAGCGCGCCAGGGAATAATGATAGATCCGCCAGAACTCAATGGGTTAAAGCTGTGGCGGAGGGGTGGTTTCAGATGCTTTTGGGAGGCTGGAAAGCTTTTGGCAGGCT